AAGATACTTAAAGCTTCGTTCGTGAAGAGTCTTCTGTAGTATTATAAACGGCAGTTACATTTAAAAAAAAAAAATTTTACTATGTTAGGGGGTAAAAGTACTTTAAACTGTATAAATTCAATTGAAAAAAATTGGCCAACCATTTTCGTTCAACCATGCCAAAAGAAACCATTTATCTCATTATAGCAACCTTTATTGTCTTGTGTACCTTTCCTTTTAGCGTTTCTTTAATGATTATGTACTGGCTTTTTTCTAAGCTCTTCAGGTATAACGCGCATTTTTTTCTCAATGTCTTACCTAATCTGATGTATTTGAAAAAAATTTTTAGCAAAAAAACGATGCCGGATTCATTAAAGAATTTTAATGACAAGACCCAAGAAAGTATCGTCCAATGGTTTAACATTGTAAAAACGAATTGCAGTGTCTTTGAGATGGATGAGATAGATGATTATTATATTGATCCAATGTTATTAATTGTCGAGTGGAACGATAATGGACTCAGACAGCGAAATATTAATAAAAATACCATAACTACTGGTATATTCAAAAATAACTAATAATGCTTTGTTACATTTTTTAACCATTTTTTTTGGATTAGTTATTCGAAGGTTTCCTGGTATTCGACCGATTTCAGATGTTCTCGCGACTGGTGGAGGAATTATCGCTAGCAATCCATCTGAATCAATTTTTTGTGTTTTTGATGCTCCTCCTGCAGAGAATCAACAGATTACTCAAGGTCTCATTGCCCATCTTAGGCAAACTTATTACCAAGCGAATCAAACTTCATTGGGAAGAGTCTTTGACATAAAGGCTACAGTAAAAGGTAAATTTGAGATTAGGGAACACTATCAAGCATTTTAGTCTTTTAACCATTAATATGTAGTTAGAAATATGGGGTTGTTATAGTAAGATTTTTACTATTATAAATAAAATCTGTGGCCGGTCAAAAATAATTCATGTAGCTTATTATGCATATATGTTAATCGAAATAAAACATGAACGTTAATGTTCATAAATTTATTATTATTTTTTTTATTTATTACCGTTAATTATTCGAGAATATATGAGTACGTGAGAGTGAAAACCAGGAAACCGATTTAATGATTTACTATGATCGGTTTCCAGGTTTTCACTCTCACGCACTCATATTCTTTTATTCTTAACCCTAAACTAAACGTTATCCTAACATAAATAAACTTTAAGGAATTTTGGGAGATATATATCCCGCGGGAGATGCCTATAATTCCCTATATATTATTGCCTAGTTTCGATGAATTCTGACCCTAAATTTTGGTCGACCAGCTGAATTTTTGTCGTAACATTATGGCAATTCATAAAATGGTTATTTTCTCGATATATTGTGACCAAGATAATGTCTTACTAAAATAACTTTAAGTTGAACGTTTATAAATAAAACTTTACAAATATGTATTTAATTTAAGTTTGAACTTAATAAACACAATATATAGTTAATTTATAATTTGCTCTGAAACTTAAAGTTCCAACCAATGAAGTGCTGTATCTTATTTAGTAGTAGATTTCAGGGAAATAAAGTTGTTAAAATCCAATAATAAATCTTGATGTGGTTTACGAGAAGAAATGGTAATATATTCTAAAAATGAAAGGTCAGACAAAGACATCCATGTATCTTGTTGTGAGGTTGATTCTGGAGAATTATTGCATGTATCTTGTTGTGAGGTTGATTCTGGAGAATTATTGCATGTATCTTGTTTTAAAGTTGAATTGTCATCGTTTACTGATGATACAATTTCCTCAAACTCGGATAAAGATGAGGAATGTTCTGACACAGCTTGCACATTTTCGGCTGATACAAATTCACCAAAATCCGAAGATATAGATGTAAAACTTGAATTTGTTTCATGATCATATAAATGTAAAGAACTTTGAGAATCCATATTGCCATTCGCAAATTCTATAAACATCTGAAATTGATCTGGGGTTTTTTGTAATTTTATAGAATCATCAATTTTTTTTGCCAATGAAGGATGCTCTGTAGTAAAATCTAATCCGATCAGCTCTTCAAAGCCGAAAATTATATCTGACTTTTGTAGAGATGCTGGTACAATAGCCGTCTGAGAGTTGATGCAATCCAATAAAGAAAATTCTGATGCTGATACTGAAGAATCTTGATTAAACTCTATTGAATTTTCAGATACATCTGAATCATCTTGCTTGACGTCCACATCACCTTCAGACAAATTATCATTTAAAATAGTAACTTTATCTGAAGTCTTTATATTAGAACAAATAATAAATTATTCATCAAAAATTATACTATTTAATATCACAGTTATTATAAATCAGACCTGGTTAATCGATGTAACAGACATTGGTGAGTGTATGATATTTTTATCACCCAATAATTCACTGGCAGGAAGCTTGTTTGCTGGCCCTATCTATAACAAATTAAATGTCAAACCAGATGCTCGATGAGCTGATATCAGTCATTTAATGCATATACAGTAAAAATACCCTATAGATAGGTAGAATGGATTTTAAGTAAAGACTCTGAATCTGTGAACCCCTCCAAGAAAATCCTGCACCATTCTTGTAATCCCAAGTTTCTATAATTGACATCCAAGTTAGTCGAGCATCGAGAGATCTGAAAAAATATATATTTATATATCAGATCATGACAATTCTTATAATTTTTTAAAATTATCAGCAGAAAAAGCGGAAAAATTTGCCTACTCTTGGGCACTATATACAAGATCTTCGATGGACGGAGACATTTCATCGATAGATTGGTAAATCGTTTTAGAATTATCAGGCATGCCCAAAACAGTAATCCAGAGAGAAGCCATATCAGAAGGTGACTAATATAAAAATAAAGTAAGGTTGAAGGAGTTGGCATAGCAATTATTCATTTATTTATTATTGTTATTATTATATTTTGAACACCCGATAACATACAAGTAATTATATCTACCCCAAGATGATCGAAATTTATTGCTAGACCCAGGCGGCTTTTTTCATTATTCAGAACTTCAAAATCATCGCTATTATTAATGATGTCACAATTTTCTAGGAACATAATATCATTTTGAATATTCTTTGTTCTTGCAAGATTGCCTTCATGGTTGACTTCTTGTTCACTAATTTTAGTATCTTCAATATAACTGTACCCTGCGAAATCAATTGATTCTTTCAATTCTGAACTGATATTCTCGCCTATTTTTTTATTTCCAGTGACGAGATTTTCACATCTATCAACATTTGCATTATATGTGGAGTCTTTATCATCTTTCGTGGATTTGGTTAAAAGATCGTCAAAAGATGACCTAATTGAAAGACCAAATGATACATCCACATTAAAATGATCCATTTGATCTATTTCAGATGAATAACCTTTATAATTTATTGTCTTATTTTTGTGAACCGATCTATTTTTAGGCCCGATACTCTCTTTAGTAGACGGAAATAAAGGCACATTTTCCATATTTGGTGGAGTTAGTAAACATGGTGGGGTTAATAACTCTTGGTTCCTTAATGTTTCCTGTACAAACTGACCAACTTTTTCGTGTAATGTCAGAGGAGTTTTATTATCTACCGATTGTACGATATTATTTGATAACTCAGTGGCTGTAAAGGAAGAACCAGGTATAGAAGAAACAATTTGTACATCTGCCCACACATTTTCTTCAAAATCATCTCTAAGTATTCCGTCTTTTCTATTAATATTACGAATATTACGAACTTGTTGTTGATTATCATCATTCCACACATTTGATGTTATTATTGAGGCTTCATCAATTCCGAAAGATTGAACATTCCATTCAATTGTTGACCATACAGGATCTTCTACCGCGTAAGTACTAGACTCAACATTAGAATTGTTGTCTGTAGAAGTGACATCAATTTGATTGAGTATCGAAGAATTTGCATGATTAGTTTGGTCAATTTTGTCAACTATCGAAATGTCAGAATAATCTTTTAAAGTATCTGCAGATTTACGCAACGCAGATATATCTTCTTTTTTCTTTTTATTTGAATGACCACTTATTATTTTTGCAAATTTCAACATTAGGTTAATTATTAAGTTCTGGTAACTTTCGAAAATTTAAGTGATAACCAAAGTTTTTATATATGTCAAATCTGTCAATCTATCGTGCATTTAGTAGAAGATTAACTAAAGATTGAGGCTTATATAATGTGGCTTGACCATAAATCTTATAAATAACCGGCTTTATAGAAGTTATTAAGTATTCATTGCAACTGCCAGTTTAACATTCTTGAGCGGAAACCTGTCAAAAGATGATCTTGTATCAAAATAGCATGATTTGCAACCTCTAAACTACTTACAAATTATAAACTACAGTATATGAGTGTCGCTAAAAGAAAACCCGACAATTTAAATATGACTTATATATAAATTGTCGGGTTTTCTTTTAGCGACACTCATATATATATACATATATATTGACATATATTACGTAGCAATCTCTAAATGTATTTTCTATATATCTTGTATATTCTTTAGTTTTATGTTTATAAAAAGTAATACTTTTGAACATAGTACATTTAATATTACTAGGAACTGGAAATGGGGTGTTAGATACCAAATGATTAACTATCATAGTCCAGCACTATATGATTGGCCCACTAATAAAGATTTTTAAAA